CGAACATGATTAGAAGTAGATCCGCACCATATGTAACTTGTCGTGCATCCAGGAATTGTACATTTTGTCACTGTTCCATTCTCCTTTGGGACCTTGAATGGTTCAAAATATTTCCAACAAATGCTTTCCTTATCATTATTTTCTGTGCGTTGGCGTTTTGTTTGTTGAGCTCCACTACTGCTAATAGCAATTAAGTTATTCTCATTATCGTTAGAGTTGGATGGTTGAAATATTTCTTGATTTCTTTTATATCCGGACATGATAAAAAGAATATAAGTCTATTTGTAGTACGAATACCTAGGTTTGAATAGAGTTAAAAAAATGATGTAATGGTACTGCACATTTTATTACGCCGTTTTATAGCTGTGTTACGAACAATGTAGCACAAACACATATTACATTGACCACTTGGGGAATGGACGAAGAAAACCGTCTTTCAGCAAATTATTGGCTCTTATTTATATGAAATACAATTATTATTATATATTAGCTTAATAGAATATGATTTGAAAAAATCAATTCTTTGAAGACATAGCGCTTTAAAATAGAATAGCAGCAACCAGAAGATTGTTAATTTAATTGGTGAACTGAATTCAAGCATGCAAACTTGTTCGTGCAAAAAATTTATAATACTTATAATTTTTTTCAATTTTCTTCTAAATATTTTAGCGTACGCTAAGCCGATCAATTTAAGGATATATTGTGACATAATGAATCTAAATCTTATCAACCCGTTTATCGTACCGTTAACATATTGCAACATGGCAAATTCACTCAAGAGTTATTAATTTATATGAATTTGCCTTAGGTATTATAGATTACCAAATTTCCATGATTAATAAAATTTCTAAATAAAAATAACACATGTATTAAATTTATGAGGCAGTGAATCTTTGCCACTTCTGTTGTATGACATTCTTTTAAAATCATCATTTGAAGTCAAAAATTGCAGCTTTCATTGCGCAGCTTTTATTGCGTTCTCCAGAATTAATAGTAGTAATGCTGTAATGGGGAATCCAAAATTAATGATAGGATTTTTGATTTTGTCTAAACTAGATGGTCTATTTACTCCGAAATAAGCAATGTATAAATTTTATTTTATGATAGTAACAACCGAAAATTTTAAAGGTTTTATAAAATAGAACTAATCCATTTTCTATTTGAAAGTTAAAATACAAATAAAACTTTTAATCTACCATTATTTTCTAAATAAATTAATTCTGAAATCCAAATTTGATTTTTTAGGCAAGTTAAATTATATATTCGAAGTTTTATCTTGGATGTAAATATGGAATTTACTGTAGTATAATTTATATGCTGTACAGACAAATTGGAATCTTTAGATATTAAAAAGACGATGTGTAATAAAGCAATTTTAATGAGCTTGAAGATTTGAAAATTTTAATGATTTATATTTTATAAACGTAAAATATAATATTGAGAAAGGTTTTTTAACGAACATGGAATAAGTTTGATTCTAATCATATTAAAAACCGACCAAAGTTATTCTTCAATCGATGAAATTAAAGAATGAGACGCGTCGATTAACAATCAACAAAATTTATGATTGACGCAGAACAAAGATACTCATAATTTAGTATCTTACGCGTTGCTGTAAAGAAACTGCATAAAATCATACAGCTGTATTTGTGCGTAAATATACAAATTCAACTGAGAACATTTAACGTTAGATTATAATTTGATTACAGACACATAACCAAGTTGTAAGCTTATGTTATTATAAATTGATTACAGACAATAACCAAGTTGTAAGCTTATGTTATTACAATTGAAGTAAATATATATATATATACATAATATATATAGCATTTATAAATATAAATCAATATACTTCATATTATATTGCAAAAAAGCGATTTCATCTACCATGTCGTCATCGTCATAAGTATTTATAAGTTCATCTAGATTTTCTACTGGATTTTCATCATCCACTGTCAATGTAGGCAAATATTCTCTCGCAAGAGTAGCTAGTCCAGGAAGCATTTGTTTTGAACCTTGCCACCACTCATATGGATTAATAGTATCTAATAATAATTGTGGGCGATTAATATAACATCTCAACTCTTCATTTGCTGCTTGCAGTGATTTATCCAAATTGTCTGAAAAAATATTGTTTAAATAATAGGCTTGGCATTTTTTTAGTGTATATTCTATAATCACCTAGTATGTTGTATAAATTATTGATAAATTATATTAATTTTAATTATTACTTTATAAATATTAATGTACTTATGAATAAACTTACGGGTGAAACTTCATCCGTTTTAGAACTTGGATCTAATAATGAAGCTAGACGCACATCAAATAAAAAACTGTCCCCAAAACACAAAGGAATCGATGTTAGAAATGATTTAAAGAGTTCATATTCTAAATCGCCATTAAACAAATCACCATTAAACTGAAGTTCTTTCAGAATATTATCTGCATTAATGACAATTCTATCTATTAAATTCGAATATTCTTTCATAAGCACTTTACGAGTACCGCATGTAATATGCTCTAAAGGTTTAAATAGTTGCAGCAATTTAGAAAATATGCCAAATGGTAAAGAATCTAGTAGAAGTCCTTTAAAGAATTTGCCCTTTTCCTTAATGTAAGCACTTTCATAATTATTATAATTATTAACTAGTTGTATAAAAGGTTCCTCCATTAATTTAAGAAATGCTATTTGATGATAAGTGCAATTGCAACTAATTTTTTTTGCATTCTGAACGTCAACAGTTGTCGAATAACTAAACGTTATTTGCATATTCTGTATTTCTCCTTGTACTCTATTATGCTTTAAAAAATTTACTACACTCCAAAGACATTTAGTAGCATTTTCTACAGCTTTGATTCTCTCAGGCATTGTTTGGTTATTAACGTGTTCTCTAGCCCATTTCCCTAAACTTCTTAATATTAAACCATTTAATTTATTCAAGCAGTTAACAGGCAATCGTGTAAGGTTTTGTACAAAATTTTGATATTTCTCGTCAGCATCCCAATCTCGCACCCTATCGAAAAAATCATTGACGTTGTCGCTATAAAATTTTAAATTAGTTAATTCCAACTCTAGTAAAGCATCAATAATATCACCGTAAAAATCTTCTTCATCGTCTATTTCAGAGTAACATTTTTTTGTAAACAACTGGATTTTATGAAATTCAAAGTCTTTAGTTAGCCAATTACAAGTGATTACTGCATAGTCTTCATCAATCTTAGTATCTGGTTTGAATTCATAAATTGAAAGCATAGTAGATTTCTCTTGCTGAGCTTTTAACTTTAATTGAAGGAATAAACGATTATATGCTTTATTTATTTGCTTTTTTATAATATCAGAAGTAGATAGTTCAATATTTGGATTAACAAATCCAGCAGATTTTAAAGTATCAACAAAATTAAAAGGTAATCCAGAGGAAACAATAAATTTAATTAATGGTATATTAATTTCTGATTCAGAATTACTAAAATTAATAGTTGATGTTGTAGATGTTAAGGTTGATGCTGTAGATGTGAAATTTGATGTTGTGGGTAAAGTTGATGTTGTAGGTATTAAAGTTGATGTTGTAGATGTTAAAGTTGATGTTGTAGATGTTAAAGGTGTTGAGGATTTCATTATACCATGCTTATTCTTAAGATGCCGAACATGATTAGAAGTAGATCCGCACCATATGTAACTTGTCGTGCATCCAGGAATTGTACATTTTGTCACTGTTCC